CCTTGAGCTCACTTTGTAGACCAGGCTAGCCACAAACTCGCAATGATCCTCCTGCCTCCTGCCTCAGCCTCCCAAGTGCTGAGATTAGGGAGGCTACCACCACACCCAGCACTAGAACTCCAATTTTTCATATCAGTATTAAAACTCTAATTTCCTTGTTTACATTTCGGCTGTTTCCTTTTGCTTTGTTTTCTGGGCAATATTCCTTCATGATTTTATTGAATTTTTGTTTTCGTCATATTTTTAGTTTATAAAACTTCTTTTCTGTCCTTAGGGATTTTCTTTCTTTTGTTATTGGGAATTGAACTCAGGACCTTGTGCTTGCCAGGCAGGCACTGTGCCACTGAGCTATATCCCTGGAATTATCTTGTTTCAGGGTCATAATAGCATCTCTTTGTTAGGGAAAATAAATTATAACATAAAGTCTTCCTCTTCTCCCCAATATTTCTCTGACTTTCTGAGTTTATTCATTCACTTTATTCTTTTTTTTTAGTATTCTAAATTTCCCTTACGTTTATGCTGATACTCCTTTGTCCATTCATAATTAAACAACGAAATGATCATGGGAAGCTTTGTATATGCGGGTGGGGCTCAGTGACTTACAGGCTTTGGGAATCCAGTAGGAACCCATGTTTGCTGGGTGGATTCCAAATACAGGTTACACTTATTACCACAGAAGTAGACTTTAGGTTAAGAAGTATTCTATAAATACAAAAAGGGACATTTCATAATGAAGATTTAATTCAATACATAGAAATTATAAATCTGTATGTATCTATTAATATAGTCTCAAAACATATAAAGCAAAATCAACATAAGTAAAAGGAGAAATACATAAATTTAAAATCATAGTTGAAGACTTTAATACACCTTTATCAACTGATTAAATCAGTGGACAAAAACACATTAGTAAATACATCATAGATTTATACAACTCTCAGATATGACCTACGCTTATATAAATTTACATATGTGTATATATAAATATATGTGTGTATATATATGTATATATACTTGACAACCATCATTTTTTAAATAGTTATGAAACATTTCCTAATATAGAGGAGCTTTGCTACACACCAACAAACATTTGTTCTCAAACAAGTGGAGTTTGGTGCCTCAAAATTGAACTACCAGGCAAGGAGAAGTCTAAGCACCACGGAGTAGAGAGGATGAGAACAGAAGGACAACTGTCAGACCCAGGTAAGGTTCCAGCCAGGAGAGCATGCCATCTTTGATGTTCCACCTAAATCGAGTCCCTAGATAACTGCAGGCCAGCCAACACCAAAAGGGCCACCACTCAACTGAGGCCAGGCAACCAGCACAATCATGAGTGATAATAAAAGGGCTGGTGTTTTAAGCCACTAAGTTTTAGGGCAGTTTTTCAACATCAATAGATAACAAAAATATTTCTCAGTAACAATGACAGATATAGAAGACAATGAAAAATATCTTTAAAGTGCTTAGGGAAAATAATGCTCACACCAGAATTCTTACCTAGAGTAAGAATAGAACACATTTTTAGACAGACAAATAGTTGATTGTTCACCATCTATATACCATCACTGGAAGAAATACTAAAAAGTATACAGATACAAGAAGTAATTGCAAGGAATGAAATTTATAATTTATTAGTAGGTCTAAATAAGCACTTATCTGGCTAAAAATAAAACTATGGTATTAAATACTGTCTTATGAGGTCAATCAACTACTATAATTTATACTTCGATGTTTTAAACTGGTACTTATGATAATATTCGCACACATAATATTTCATATATATTGGCTAAAGAATAGCCAATATATATGAAAGGTCTCCAAGAACTTATACTAATTATTTATCAATTCTTCCTCTCAACTTCCCCACATGGAATCCTCCCATCACTCTATACTGAGCCCCAGCCATCATGGGATAAAAGGAGTATTTAGAAGAAGAAAATCAAGGAGGGTAGTCAGGCAAAAGAACCCCCTCTTGGTATGTAGGATACACTGCTTCTTTCTTTCCTGCTTCTTTTACTTTGACCTTTTTTCTGCTTTGTCAGAGTCAGAAATCCTGATATAGATGTGCAATGTGAATGACAATTCTTAACCCTGAGGGACAAGTTACAACCAAAACTCATTCTACACAACTCTTTGTAACTATATAAACTATTAATTTTCTTCTCAAATTATTCTTTTTTTTACATTTTATTATAAAGAGACAAAAAAGACAAAAAAAAAAATAAAAATGATACAAAATTCCAAAACAACAGGAAAGACACAGTCAACTTTTTTCAAAAAAGAATAAAGAAATATGCAGTATAATAACCATTGTTAATTTCTTTATTCTTTTTTTTGCTGTAAAGAGAATAAAAAATAATTTAAAAAAACAATAAAAAAATTAGAAACCACACAGAATTTCAAAAAAACAAGATAGGAATTCAACAATGGTTCTTATATTGCATATTGCTGTCTTCAAAGTAGCTGTTCAGATTACTAGATATAAGCATGCAAAATTGGTCAAGAAAAAAAAAATTAAGCATTAACTGTTCCTTTCAACAAACCAAAAAAAATTAGTAGTATAATTATTTTAGCTATAACATATATATATACATGTATATATATATATATTCTCTCTTCCTTCTTTCTTACTTTTCTCCTTTCCTTCATTCCATTTGTTAATTCCTTTTGAGCAGTTTCTTTCCATTTCAAATCTATTGTACAGTTTGGATTTTATTTACTCTTTCAGGTTCTTACACTGGGAGACAATACAATATTTACACATGTGAGTCTGATTTATTTCACTTATGAGTATGGTCTCTAGTTGCATCCATTTACCTATAAAAGCCTGAAGTTTATCTTTTTTATAGCTGAGTAATACTCCATTGTATAAAAATACCACATCTTCTTTATCCATTCCTCAGCTGATGGGCATTTGGGTTGTTTTGAAGTTTTGCGATGACGAATTGTGCTGCTATGAACATGGGTGCACATATATCTCTGTAGTATGATGTTTTTAATTCTTCTGGGAAAATACCCAGAAGGATAATAGCTGGGTTAAGTGGGACCTCTAATCCTAGTTTTGGGAGGAATCTCCACACTGATTTCCACAGCGGTTTACCAATCTACAGTTCCACCAGCAGTGGAGAAGGGTTCCTTTTTTTCCCCACAGCCTCTCCATCATTTATTATTGGCTGATTTCTTAATGATAACCATTCTTTCTGGGGTGAGATGGAATCTCACTGGTGTTTTAATTTGTATTTCTCAAATGACCAATGATGTTGAACATTTTTTCATATATTTATTCACCATTATTATTTCTTCATCTGAGAAGTGTATATTCATCTCAGATGCTCATTTTTTGATTGGGTCTTTGAATTTTAGGGGCCTGATTTTTAAAAATTCTTTATATGTCTAGATAGAACTCCTCTGTCTGAGGGGCAGTTGGATAAAATTTTTTCCCAATTCATGGATTTTCTTTTTACTCTGCGGGGGGATTTCTTTTGATGTGCAACAACTTTTCAATAAGAGGACATCCCAGTTGTTGACTCTTTGAATTATTTCCCGTGCAGTTTGATTTTTGTACATGAACTCTCTGCCTGCCCCTATGTCTTCAAGATTTCTACCTACTTTCTCTTCCAGTAGATTTAGTGTTTCTGATTTAATATTTTGATCTTTGATCCATTTTGACTTCAGTTTAGTGCCTGGTGATAGACATGGATCTAGTTTTAGTCTTCAGTGTGTGGAGAGCCAATTTTTTCAGCACCGATTATTAAAGAGGCTATCTTTCTTCCAGTGAACATGTTTTGCCCCTCTATCAAAGATAAGGTGGCTGAATGTGTTTGTAGTTGTGTCTGCATATTCTAATATGTCTCACTGGTCTTCAGGTCATGGATTGTAATGCCTCTTGCCTTGCCTTTGTTGCCCAGGATTGCCTTTGATATTCTAGGTCTTTTCCAGTTCCAAATGAATTTTAGGAATGTTTTATCTAGATCTTTGAGATACGCTAATAGTATTTTCATTGGGATTGCATTAAATTTGTATAACAGTTTTGGAAGTATGTTCATTTTTACATTGCTGGTTCTTCCTATCCATGAGCAAGGAACATCTTTCCATTTTCTGAAATCCTCTTCGATGTCTCTTTTCAGAGTATTGAAATTTCCCCCATACAGATCTTTTACTTGCTTTGCTAGATTGATTCCTAAGTATTTCATTTTTTTGGATGCTATTGTAAAGGATACGGTTTCCCTAATTTCTCTCTCAGTGAGTTTGTTGTTTGTGTACAGGAATGCTAATTTTTGACTGCTGACTTTGTATTCTGTTACACTATTGAACTTGTTTATTAAATCTAGGCATCTTTTGGTGGAGTTTTTGGGGTCTTCCATGTAGAGTATTATGTCATCTGTGAATAATCATAGTTTAACTTCTTCCTTTCCTATTTTTATTCTTTTTCTTTCTTTCCCTTGTCTAATTGCTCTAGCTAATCATACTATTCTTAAAATAAAAAATTTCAATGTGTGTACTTAAAACTTTCAGAATCCCAAAATAAAAAGTAGAATAAAGTTCAGAACTTCAATTTTCAATCAACATAGAACTCACATTAGAAAGTGATCAATCATTTTAAAGAAAACTAAGTATTACTTACTTTAACAGCAAATTTCTTAGATGCCATTATTTATTGATTTCCACAGCAACTATAAGACCTTTAAGAGAGAAAAAAGTAAAGTTATAATTATATATATCAAAATCTCTTTTCAATAGTTTATAGGAAAAAACTGGCTGAAAAATAAATAAAAATAATAAACAAATTCATTCCAGTATGAATTTGTGAACTGAATACTCACTTTTAATTGTCCTTAACAAAATTACTATATTGAATCAGTAGCTTAAAAACTGCTCACAAAGACCCTGGGCA